TACGAAAAAGGCGATGGCCCAACAAAAATATTTCGTGATTTAAATGGTGGTTTGTGTTTGAAAACAATTAACCGATGGTGCAAAATGATCCGCGAGACCGGCGCTATTCAACTATCATATCCACCCGGTCGCCCACGAACAGTTCGAACCATGGCATCAATCACGAAAGTAAAGAATCGATTAAAACGGAGAAAAGTGGTATCATCGAGAAAATTGTCGGCTGAATTGGATATTTCTCGAACAAGCGTGAGACGAATACTCAAGAATGACTTGGGATGTCGTGCCTACAAGAAAATAGTTGAACCACTGCTCACTGATGCTCACAAAGCCGAAAGAAAAAAGTTTGCAAATTGGATTCGAAATAATTTTCGAAAAGAACAAAGAATTAGCTAGTAAGAAGTAGCTAATTCTTGAATTCTTTCTGCTAATTCTGAAAATTTTATCAGTATAGAGTTCTATGAACTCGGCTATCCCTTACTCCTAAAGGGTATATGTTGAGCCTGTTCATCATCTATTTACCTATACGGGAACAGAATACTATAGAATTAGGGGTTATATAGCGATGAAATGATTAAATGGAAACGAAGATTGTTGTTTTTATCAGATTTTAGTTACATACCTACAGAGTTCAAAAGCAAATAAAGGAGAACATGAACTTTTATGTATTTGACTTTGATTTTCAAAGAAAAGGAAAGGTCATACTGTTTACTACTGAGATACATTTCATTTCCCTTTTAGATGTTTGTGCTAGATTTCTATGTCGGTTGTTGCATCAAAAATCTTAGGTTTAGGTAAAACATTATTTTTGTAACCTTCTGATATAATCCCTGTTCTTTCAGAATACATTCGGAGAAATTCCATTATAGCATTCTAAACTAAAGCTATCGAAAAACACAAAATGTATCTTGTACGAAAAGAGTTTGAAGCACGGACTTCGCTTTGATCGATGTAAGAACTTTGAAATTGGAGAGCAAAGTTGCTGCTTTGTTATATGAATAAATATTTTTCTACTGTGATTCATTACATGACTTTTTATTAAATGCACAAAGAAAAAATACCGACCAGACTGAGTTATTTGACAAGAAAATGTTCATTTAAAATAACCAAAGAAAATCCATGAAAGTATCGAGAGTTAATAATAAACTATTATATTGTAACTTTGAGTCATGTCTCGTGAGTATCGACAAAACACAGTTCTTGATTATGAACAACATACGCATGTGCTAAAGTAAATAGAGTGAAAACATTTTAGATCCATAGTGTTGTTTCAACTTTTCTGTAACTCCTTCATCTGAAATTCCACTGAAAGAGATGAAAAGCTTCTGTCGAGATAAGAAGTCGAAAAGAAAAAGATCCTTCGCCATTTCTTTACATGCCTCAAAAACAATGTAATGCGGTATTGCCTCTTCAGCGATCCTGTTCCTTTTAAACTTGATCTTGTTTATTTAAAAATAGTTTGTGTTTAACGTCAACAAACAAACGCAGCTATGCTTGCAGACAAGTCTATGTTGCATAGTGCATAAAACGTTCAACCAAAAACCTAGCAAAATCACATCTTTTTTATGATTCTACTATGAGTACAACAAAAAGGGAAAAGAGAACTAATGGATAATTGTATGTCAATATAAAATCATATGAGATTAGTAGAAGTCGGAAAGGGGAAATAAGCTGGTTTCATCATTGAATACTACCTTAAGTTCTTCAGATGTTAAAGAATTTTGCGACAATAGAGTTTTCAAATCCAAACTCAAATGGGGTAGATCTAGCTGAAATATCGAGATTAGAGCTAATCACGTGGTGTCATATAATGGGCATTTAAAAAGATAATGAAAAAGATTTTCTTCTGTTACATTGTCGCACAAGCCAAAAGGGTTAGAAACGAGACCATGAAGATGCAGATTCCCCTTCAACTGCGAAAATCCAACTCGACATCGACAATAATCAATGTTGGCATGTCTATTGCTAGTATACGGTAACATTAGAATATCTCTCAGCGATAATAAACTTTTCTTCAATTTTGGTATGCGACATATCAGCTGTGTTTCCACTGGTAATTCATTGTGTTCTCTCGCTGTACGATATATCATTGAGTCGTACAACATATTCAAATGAGAACGCGAAGTTGGAAGTAGCATCTTCTCACGACTTCGTAGTGAGTATAAAAAAACAGTAGGTAGATCTGAACGTGATCGCAGCAGGGTTTTTAAGAACGAAAGTGTTTTTCTCGTAGCTATTTTTTGAATAAAACTAACCTATGTTGCTTAAAAGCATCTCGCAACGGCGGTTTCCATCCTAAATCTCTAAACACTCACTCCTTAGAACTATGTATCATAGCACCTGATACCGCTCATGGAGCTTTGTACTATGCTGACTCAAGTCGATCAAGATTTCTATCAGATTTACTTTTATATTTGAATAGCACAAGGATTCTGCTACAAATTCAGTTAAAACTTCTGTAGCTTCTATTTAATTTCGTCGGAAAAAAACTAACTTTTCTGACGAACCAGCCGAAAAACCACCAGTTCTAGGCCTTGTTTGATGAATATCACGGCTTAAAAGCATCTCGCAACGGCGGTTCCCATCCTAAATCTCTAAACACTCACACCTTGAACTATATATGCATCGTAGCACCCGACACCGCTCTTGCAACTTTGTACTGTGCTGACTCAAGGCGATCAAGATTTCTATCAGATGTATTTCCATATCGCTGACGCGTAAATGGACAAGTTTAAAACAAATGACTAGTACATTAAATATAATACCTGTCTAGATAACGCACTTGTATGAAGCTTCAAAAGACCAGGTAAACGACTTACTTTACTTAAAACATAATCTACGTGCTCTGTCCAGTCTACATTTGACCTTAAGATTAAGCCTAACTGTTTTTGTTCAACAACATAGGAAATAGGTTGACCAAGACGGGGTAGAGCAGCGAGAGTATCGCGTCCACGAATAGAAAAAATCATAGCTTTACATTTATCAATATTTAAATACAATTTCCAAGTTATAAACCATTCGTAAATTGAGAGTGAATCTTTATTTACTTAGTCTATAACTTTTTTAATATCGTTTTTCTCTGTACTGCGGTAGAGTGAGGCATCGTCAGCAAACAATCGCATTGGTGCACTAACATTATCGTCAAGATCATCAGTAAAAATCAAAAACAGTAACGATTTCAAGACCGAGCCTTGGGGCACTCCTCTACCAAAGATTCTTGCTGCCAGCGTAATACCATCCACTGTTGTCACAAGGTCTCTATTTAAGAGATAGCTTTCAAACCAATTCATTAATGACGGAGGTAATCCTTCTGCTTTTAACTTTACTAGTAAACCCTTATGCCAAACGGTGTCAAATCCTTGCGAAAATCCAGAAAAACACTTAAGACTCGTTCCCAGTTATCAAAAGCTAACAAGATCTCATGAACTATGGTGATCAATTGATTAATAGTAGAATCACCATGTCTAAATCCTGACTGGTTCGTACTTAGACGGTTGTACTTTGTTAAGTATCCGTACACTTTCCGATGAATCAAACGCTCAGATATTTTTGATAAAACAGGCAGTGAGATTATCGGGCGATAATTATTCACTTCATGAAGGTTCCCTGACTTAAAAATGAGGGGTGTCAGAATATCACTACGCAGTGTATTCTCAAAAAGAGACCATTTTTTTCAAACTTGCTGGGCTTGGTGTATTCTCACTGACAATACGCAAATGTTGCATAGTGACCCACTCTCACGCTGTATCTCCCCTCCCCCCCGACGGCGACACTATATTATATATTGTCAATATTTGCGTATTCGGGTATATTCTCGTGTATTCTCAGTAAGAATACACCAAGCCCAGCACATTTTAAAGATATGTATATATTTGCGTATTCTGGTGTATTCTCGTGTATTGTCAGTGAGAATACACCAAGCCCAGCAAATAGTGTCTTTTTGAGAATACACTGCGTAGTGATATTCTGACATCTCTGTTAAAAATCGATGTAACGTAGTCAAGTTTCCAAGCTTTAGGAAACTGCTCCTGTTCTAGAGATTCATTAAATAAATAGGTTATGATCGGAGTTATAATACGTGCGGCTTCTTCTCTACCTATTCTCGATGACAGACCAGGCACACTAGCTTTACTACAATCAATTCTACACAGTAATTCAAAAACATCACTCTCAAAAATATGGAATTTCGACATCGAGAATTTCCTAGATGTTGGAACAACTAACGGCACATCATTAACCTAGCTAAGCGACATTGAGCAAACTGTCATGAAATGTTTGTTTAAAAGCTCAGCCTTCTTTCCCGGATCTCTCATTAGTTCATTTGAAGAGCTGTGAAACAGATTCGCTTAGATAGGTGAACTTTTTCCCATGTGCTGATCTGCTATTCAATTGATATTAATGAAACTATAGTACAAGGGTTTTTAAGATGATCTACTCCCGACAGGATACCGCACGCCTTTCTGAATCGTCTGGCGTAATTATAAGTAACTATCTGGAGGTTTAAGCTAAATTCAAGAAATTATATTTAGACTGAAGACACACTGTGTGATAGCATTAGTAAAAGTCAGTTATCAAGTATCAAACAAATATGGAAGAAAGGAGCAGTTAAAAGAAAGAAACTTACTTGATTTTTTTTAACTCAATATTCTGAGAATATTTTTAACTGTATCAGGTACTACATCGACTGTAACTGGTGTATTAATCGCACAAATTCAAAGGCAGCGCACATCCATTTGGCTAGAACCGGTGTAGAATCTGTTTTGACTGATTGTGTTTCATTATCGCATACTTTAAATGTTAATAATGGTATAACACGAGCTAATTCTTTTGCAGCTTCAGTTCGACAATCTTCAAAGTCATGTGGCCAACGAAGTGTAGCATTAATAACCGGTCGAGCTATTCGTCGAATTAATGCACGTGTTTCAATTGTACATTCTTCTTGTTTTAATGTTGTACGAAATATGGAATAGTTTATAAATGATGCCGCTTAGACTCGTGCACTAGTTAAGGGCTCCTCCTTAGGAATTCCATTTTCCTCTGAAACGTTCGACACTGAAGTAAGCATACGGGTGAGTACCCCAAACTGCCACCTTTCAGAATCCATCTCAATTTGTCAAAAATTCAATGATTTTTGAGGGTTTCCAAAAAAGATTTCTGAAAGCCCTAAAAAACAACCTTTTTCTAAATTTCAAATTTCAGTTAAAATTTTTAAGGCTGTCCGATTAAACAGACATGAAGCTATGTTGAGTACAGTGTCCTGATCATAATGTGATGCCCCGCAGGCTTTTAGGACTTCGCCTTGCAGCGTTATACTACTTTTGCTAAAGGCACTGGTTTTTAAAAGGGTTTTCTAGAAGCCTTCCGAAGTATAGCAATGTTTTTTACTATTCTCAAGTAAAAACACGTATATGAGCAGGTCAAATAGAGTACATCTTGATATTCTGACGTAATTTGGATGGATCTTGGCTGAGTTACGAATTTTTTAATTTTACTCAAATATAGGCACAAGTGGGCTATGTCACGCAGTATAGATCTTTACTAGGTTTTTGCAAGTGTTTTGAAAAACGAATATTGCCACGAGATTCAGCGCGGTCGATAACCTATGTTTCGACGATTTTTTCTTTTCTATAGCGAAAAGGCCCTTACGAGTGCTCAGCCGATTAAAACGTCTGTAGCTCCGCGAGGAAGCAAAATTTTTGGGGTTGCTTAGATACCATTTGAAAGAGGACCTCTCGCCCTACAAGACTAGCGAAAAAGATAAATAAACATGCTAATTTTCTGAACTTTCGTCCGCTAAATTTAGCCTGTGAAAACTTTCGGAAATTCTTTTCCTTCGATGAGTTTGTGTCCCCTGAGTTGCTCTTCCTAATGGTGAAAACCGCAGTTCTCTAGCTCTTTTAGCTAAAAAGTTATAAGTACTTGAACTCACTCTCATCGTATTTATTTTCCTATCGTAGAATTCTGACTTAAAATACGTGTAAGGAATGAATGCACAGTGGGCATATAGGCGGAAATTAGGCGGAAAATCGAAATAATCCTTTTTTCAAATATAAATAGTGCAAAATGTAGCTCTTGAAATTGTCTATCGAATGGTGTATAAATGTCTATTTTGAAC